ATCGCTGCTTAAAGATGGAACTACTGAATGGGCGAATTGGATTGTAGGAAGCCATATGAATGTCACGGATGAGCGCGACGTATTTAATATGGAACCGACAAAAACCGATATCAGATGCATCCCTTCACGACCTCCGTATTGTCGGTCATCCGGAGTTGGACTGCTTGTGTCGCCGATTGATGCCGTGCGCCATTTTCGTAATAGCGTCTGACTTCAGTTTAACGTATCCGCTTGTGGTTCTCAGTAGCATGCGGCTGTTTTCAGCGTTCGTCGACTGCAGACGGCGAACCAAGACGGCCGTACGTGCACATGCAAAACTAAAGACGGATTTGGACTTCCATGCAGACACCTGCTGCAGTTCGCACAGCTTAACAACGTGGATGTCAACGAACTGCCGGTCAGCAGACGGTATACGAGAGCGAATAATGGGGCACTTGCCGTTTCAATCGCGCCGTTGTACGCGTCAATAATTGGAAGGCAAGAACCGAACGCCATTTTGGATATGGCGTTGAACGACCTACTTGCACTGTATCAGCAATTGCAGCCAGCACACCTCGCTTTGTATGCCGCTGGACAACGTAGTTTTGTTCAACAAGCCAGCCCGCAAGATATATTTCCGTTTACCCTCCCCCCCCTCCAGTGTACCTGACCAAGGACACAAACGTTCCCGATTACAATCAGCTGCCGGAGTCCACCTTTCTGAACTTGGACGCTGCAGCTCTCCATCTCTCGGCATTGCCGAAGGGGATTGTCACGTCGGTCACCGATAACGCAGTCTTTAGCGATGAATGGATGTGGCAATTGCATGCTCGGATGAAAAATGCACCATACTAGCGGTTCTACCTGGTGCACGGCCCACGGCGGCTGTTTACAGTGCAAGGCACGAACACCGGCACGCAACAGCTGTCGAACAAACCAACCATCCAAGTTTGCAAGATTTGGTAATCGATAAAGATATATGCGCAATATTCGGCTTACAAGGTCCGAATGAAAACGAGGAGCGAATATTATACTGGGTTCAATGCCCGTATTCTACATATTGTTATCATCGAAATTGTCTTCTGCAGCCCCCTATAATAACTGTTTTCTGGTGCTTTTTCTGCGATCAGATATCTGGATGACACTGCTTAGTGAGTTGGTGGCCTTTTGCAGGCCCGACATGTCAAAGTGTTTTTCCTGTTCTGCTTAGCTGCATGTGCGCCAATGATATCGTTAAATATCCACCACTTTACTAATGGTTTCATTTTCATGTAACGATGAACGCGCACGTACTTTCTTTTTCTGTTTGCGTCCACCTCATAAACCCAAACCCTCCCCCACATGGTACGGTGGTGTAACCAGATTTTAATTGGGTCAACATGTAGCTGGTAGTTTCATATGCATGATAAATGATATATAATAATCCATACATGATTTGTCTTTTCTTCCAGGGTGTCAACGAATGGGATAAAAGTTAGTGTGAAAACAAATACTCTGGTGTGCGGTGTAAAACGAATAGAACGCTTATGATGAACCTGTACGTTTCGCCACACTATCGTCTTGTGCAATGTACGCACGAAATACGCATTGTGGCTACCATTGTGTGTACTTATCCATGGGTGCAGATTGTCGCGTTCGTTATCACAAACGCTCAGTGTGAGCATGTTGCAACCACACATACAGCCTCTTTACACCCGAAGAAGTTGTTTGTTTATGTTTTCAAGGGGGCGGCAGTTTGAACTAATGTATTCCATCGTTGCAGAGTGCGAACCTTTAGCACCACATTGTAGCAAATGTCGTTAGGCAGCCTACGGTTAATGCCTTTTAGCATTAACTACATGCTGTTGCATTTCAACAACAAGCGTAACCGTTTGCCGAACAGACTGCTCTCTTTTTACCCGTGCCCATTTATAAATTACGGCTACACAGTCCCACGTTTTGGCAATTGATAGGGTTACATGTTGCAGCCACAACGATTAAAAGCCAGTGCTGCTATGGTCATATTTTAGCACACAGCATGGCAACTGTGTCAGTCAAATGCGGGCGACCCATGTTAGTAATCGTTGAAATGAGCGATTGTTTGCCAGTGCACTAAGTAGGCAGCGAGTGGCTAGGTGAGTACTTGATGCCCGAGCTTGTTAACGAAATGTCAGTCGCATAACCTTACTATCGGAAAGTGCTTAGGAAAAACCACGATAACAATGCGAGATAAATGTACGGGTATTGTCCTCATGGAACCGTAGTAGTAATGGTTAGCAGTATACCTCGTGAACATTGCATGCCCCAGCTGCCTACGAGTGGAGACGGATAGTATGACAACCACGGAATGATACGGAAATTAGAGCCGTGATAACGGATGAAGCCGGAGTATGATGTTCACCAGCGAAACTGCTGTCTGCGCCAAGGGATACCAGTAAGAAATGGAACAATGGCGTCTGATAGCAGTGAATGGCAGTGAATGTAAACACGAATAAACGAACCTTAGTTATGCAGTTATAACAGCGGTGAGAAAAACTTTCGGATGAGAATAGCAGTTGTAATGATGTACTAGTATAGGTGGTCAAATGGAGGAACAGAAAGTGTGGCGGAATGGAACGCAGTTGGAAAACGTGTAAGCAATGTTTGGGAAAAATATCAAGGACCAAAATGGACGGGCACCAAAGGTAGCGAATGTAACTGTTCGCCATTGCCCACCGCGTTGCAGAACGCAATGGCGAAAAAGCACTACATATAATACTTATTGCCAACAGTCGTAGGAATAGTATATAAGCCACACGACTGAGGTAAGGAGTGCACTTTTCCTTCAATGTTAGGTCGGTGCAGAACACAGTAGAGAAAAGTCACCGTATATAAAAATCATTGCAAAATAGGTTAGGAGAATTCTGGAAGCCGAAAGACAGAGGTGAAAACGGAGAGGTTGTACCAAGTTAAAATCATTCCGTTAACCACTTAAAACAAACCGCAATGTGGTGCGATGTCTTAAGTCGTTGTGCACTGTAGGCAAGTTTTCCTTCTGCTGTTGTGAGTGCGATGAATTATGGAGCCTCATATTCAAGTTTCATGTATATGTGTATGACTGTTTTGATGTTCCTGCGCGTGAAATACGTGCACATTTCATGAAGGTAGTAGTGAAAGCATGCACTGCAAATCAGCTGTGTTAACTGCGTTGACAAGCAAAGCACCAGCTACTTGTTCCTCCACCGAGCATTTGGTCGTGTACGATGGAACATTTAAGTTGCACGCGAATTTATCCCTACACCGAACTGTAATGTGGGCCCAGATACACGCAACCTACCTAACACTGATATCTGCGTTGCATCAGCCTTGTGTGATGTATAATATGCGGTTAGTGCACCTGTTGACTATATTTGACTATAGTCCCATGACGTAGTACGAGATAAGATATCGGGACATCAGGCTAATAAGGCCAGATTAATGTGAAGCTATTGTTCTCATGTATGAAACGGATTATCCAAGCCAGGTGAACGCGCAAACCATAGAGAAGGCCATATCTAAGTCGCTCAGGTGCATTAAACTGAATAACCTGAGTGCATCGGTACCCTGTTAAAAAGTGGGCGCAATTTCAGAGTATTGCACAATATGCCAGACAGTGGTATAGTTTTATCATAGACTATAAAGCTCCACGTTTAACCACATTTGCGTGGTTATTTTGACCTGTATGCGATTAGCTGTGGGTGGTGCAGAGCAAACAACCCATGGTCCCTCTGTAGGCGCAGGCGTCCTGTGGCTGGCCACAGTGACACGCAAATCCGAAACCGGATGCCGCCAACCATGCGATTAGCACAGAACATGTTGACAGTGTGTGTTTTCCTAAACCCGGTCTATAAATGTTCAAGATGATGGGCAGCACAGCTGCGCAATTTGAGTGTATGATAAACCGTTTTACTGAAGTAAACTCTTTTTCGCCTATGACTAAAAATGGCCTCTGATGCGACACCTTGACATGCGGCTTGTCCTCTCAGTGACCCCTGCTCTTACATGCAGTATATTATCCACGTAAGGGCTACTTTGTGCGTCTGATAATGACATGTGTGCTCCTTTCCCAAGGAAAATCCGCATATGAGAACGGATGTTTCACGATGATCTGACTCAAATATCTAATCCTGTAGTATTGCAATCCCGCATATTGTCGACGTAGTAAGATGCTTCTACTCGTAATTGGCCGCTGTATACTTTCGGTCATTTACGGTGCACCTCCGAACATGCAGGAACAGGCGTGCCTTGCTTTGTCAAGCAGAAACTTCATTTATTTATTTATGTTGTAACAGTAACTGCTTCTGGAATGAGGGAAACGCCATATGAATTTGAGCCTGTACATGTGCTCACACCCATCATGGCATCGGAACTCAGTGGATGCAGTGTACAAGTTACACCATCGCAGTGCGGCTGTTTTGATGAGGTTGGCCTACTAAGTGAACCTGGTCCAACCTATCCGTATTCCTTTCTGTTTTCGCATCCTTATTAGTTACCATTGTTGCGTTGGCCCATTGCACTCCAAAGTATACCATTATAAACCGTTGGAACACATTGCTTAATGGAGCCAAGCTTCCCCATAGCATGATTGTCCGGACACTCAAAGCATTGAATTAGCTTGATCGGGAAGCAAGGAAAAGTGACGTATATGCTACGCTGACTTCTCAGGTCAGACACGGGAATGAATGATGTCACACTCTTTTTGTGTTCCCAATCATGTGTACACCTGATCATTTGCGGGTAATTATGGTTCCCATCACATGCCCTACTAACGCGTACGCCTGTTATCAAGGATTTCCGTTAAAATCTGGTTATGTTAAAAGTACTGCCCCACAGACATCCATGTGACCTTACGCCAAGACAAGATTCAGTGACTTCGCCTGCAAGCCGCCCTGGATAGCCTTACCAGCCATGCCAGTCGCAACCCTTGATCACAACTCCACGTTGAAATGCGAACTGAGTGCGAGCCCTGACTTGCAAGCCTGTGCAGCCCGGCCGCATCCACCACTGGCGACATTGGCCTTACCAGTCACGGCGGTCGCAACTGTTGATCACATATCAACGTTGAAATGCGAACGGAGTGCGTGCGCAGACTTGCAAGAAACGTCTGTTCCGGCATGAGCAGA